GTGATCCGCCCGTCTCGGCCTCCCAAAGTGCTGGGATTACAGGCTTGAGCCACCGCACCTGGCCTAAAATAAATTTTTAAAAAAATTAGCCAGGCATGGTGGTTCGAACCTGTGGTCCCAGCTACTTGGGAGGCTGAATCAGGAGGATACCTTGAGCCCAGGAGGTGGAGGCTGAAATGAGTGATGGTTGCGCCACCATACTCCAACCTGGGTGACAGAGTGAGACCCTGTCTAGGAAAAAAAGAAGACACCAGGTGACATTGCTTATCTGCTTAAAATTAACGTCCTCTGGATGGATAGAAAGGACAGTCCCCCAGGGGATACAGTCCCGGCCTCATGGCTTCGGGGCTGGGGTATCATCTCACTCTTCTTCCCTCCCCTGCTCTCTCTGCTTTCTCCAAAGCACAGGCTGCCATGGGTTCTGTTGGGAGCCAGCGCCTTGAGGAGCCCAGCGTGGCAGGCACACCAGACCCGGGCATAGTGATGAGCTTCACCTTCGACAGTCACCAGCTGGAGGAGGCGGCAGAGGCGGCTCAGGACCAGGGCCTTAGGGCCAGGGGCATCCCGGCTTTCACGGACTCCAGTAAGTAGGGGTGCGGGCAAGGCGCGTGTCCTGCCCCGAAGCAGACTGAACTGTGTGACCCCCAGTGAAGCCTTGGGGTATTGGGGAGCCATGGGTGGTCATGGACTGGAGGCAGTGCCTGTCAGTGTGGATTAGATCTGCTGTATAACAAACACGCCCACCGTCTCAATGTCTCCGCCCTGATGCTGCATGTCTGTGCTTAGGGCCCTGCCAACAGCCCCCAGCAGAGGAGGCTCTTTTTTTTTTTTTGAGACAGTCTCGCTCTGTTGCCCAGGCTGGAGTGCAGTGGCCGGATCTCAGCTCACTGTAAGCTCCGCCTCCCGGGTTTACGCCATTCTCCTGCCTCAGCCTCCCCAGTAGCTGGGACTACAGGCGCCCGCCACTTCGCCCGGCTAGTGTTATTTTTGTATTTTTTAGTAGAGACGGGGTTTCACCAGGTTAGCCAGGATGGTCTCGATCTCCTGACCTCGTGATCCGCCCGTCTCGGCCTCCCAAAGTGCTGGGATTACAGGCTTGAGCCACCGCGCCCAGCCAGGAGGCTCTGTCTTAACATGGGCTTTCGTGCTCACTGGATGGGTGAAGGGATCCATGGCTCATGCGCTGATCCATAAAACTTCTATCTGGAGTGACACATGTCACTTTGGTCGCACTCGTTGGCCAAAGCAAGCTATACCTCACTGCAAAGGAGCCAGGAAAGTGCCTGAGAAGGACTGGATGTGAGGTTCAAAGCTCTGGTTTTCAGCCCAGCTGTGTGATCTTAGGCAAGGGCCTGAACCTCTCTGAACCTCAGTTTCACTACATTGAGGAATTGGGCCAACTGACTTTGAGATCAGACTTGCAGAGTGGACAGCCCACAGGCTTGGAGTCTGACAGGCTCAGGTTCAAGACTGCCTCCTATCCTTCACCCACCAGGAGCTCCGGTCAAGTCACTGTTCTTCTCTGGCCCTCGGTCTCTTCCTCTGGAAAAGGGGGATGGTATTGTGTCAATGTGGCTGCACCAGAATCAACAGAATCTTGCTTGGGCCTGTCCCTGGCACTCAGGAGGCACCCTGTAAGCTATAGTTCTTTTGCAGGGAGCTGTTGTTTATGCTAGTACTTTAGGCTCAGAAACCTGGGTTAAGGCTGGGCACGGTGGCTCACGCCTATAATACCAGCACTTTGGGAAGCTGAGGCCAGAGGATCGCTTGAGCCCAGGAGTTTGAGACCAGCCTGAACAACCTGGCAAAAACCTCATCTCTACAAAAACCTACAAAAATTAGCCAGGTGTGGTGGCACACACCTGTAATCCCAGCTACTTCAGAGGCTGAGGCAGGAGAATCACTTGAGCCCAGGAGGCAGTGGTTGTAGTGAGCCAAGATCGTGCCACTGCACTCCAGCCTGAGCGACGGTGAGACTCTGAACAAAAAAGAAAAATTGGCTAACTAAAGTGGGAGCTAGTTAAGCCAGGCAGGCAGGCAGTCAGGAAGGTCATGGACAGTCTGGAATCCACGGACAAGAGCTTCTTGGAGTCTCTGAGCTCCAGGAAGACCTCAAGGCCTCACCTGATTAGGTCAGACCCACCCAGGGTCATTTTCCTTTTGATGAACTGAAAGTTGATGGAGAAGGAACTTGAATTGCAAAACGCCGTCACAGCAGCAGCAGGGCTAGTGTTTGAACCTGGGGACTGTCCTTCAGCCTGTCAAGGTGACCATAAACAGACCATCACGGTCCCCCCCTCGCCAATGTGGCTCCCATAGACATCTCCCTAAACCATGTCTTCTCTCCAAACAAAGGCGGTGACAAGGTCATACTGCCACTGAGCATGATGCAAGAACCCTGTACAACCCTGAACGTGCTGACCCCTTCCCCAGCAGGACAGGCAGAGGGTGCTCACTCTTCCCCTTCCATATCCTATAATTTTTGTTTTGTTTTGTTTTTTGAAAACAGAGTCTCGTGCTGTTGCCCAGGCTGGAGTGCAGTGGCGCAGCCTTGGCTCACTGCAACCTCCACCTCCTGGGCTCAAACTATTCTCCTGCCTCAGGCTCCTGAGTAGCTGGGACTATAGGCTTGCACCACCATGCCCAGCTAATTTTTTCTATTTTAGTAGAGATGGGGTTTCACCATGTTGGCCAGGCTGGTCTCGAACTCCTGAGTTCAGGAGATCTGCCCGCCTCGGCCTCCCAAAGTGCTAGAATTACAGGCGTGAGCTGGTTTCCTGTCCATCAAGCTGGTGGCTTCAGTGGCTGTGATGGCGTGGGTGTGGTAGCTGTAGCCACAGTATTTGGTGGCTTTTGATAATGGTCAGATGACAGAGGTATCTGGAGCAGAGGGGAGCAGGGGTCACAGCGATGGACAGTGGCCTTGGTGATGGAGGCCGAGGTGATGGCCATCGTCCTGTGCGGAGGCCGCAGCCATGCATGGAGGGTGCCCCGTCTCACCTGGTGTCTCTGGCTTTAGCACTGGAGGAGCCGGTGCCTGATGACCGCTACCACGCCATCTACTTTGCAATGCTGCTGGCTGGCGTGGGCTTCCTGCTGCCGTACAACAGCTTCATCACGGACGTGGACTACCTGCATCACAAGTACCCAGGTGGGTCCTTCCACGGTCACGCCCGGCCACTCAGCATACTCCATCATGGCCTGGGGCTTCCCAGAAACCCCCGGGTGGGAGGGTCCTACCCAGGGACCCATTTTATTCGGATCTCGGCTCCACTGTGAGCTGCTGAGTGACCTCAGGGCAGCCACTCACCCCTCTGGGCAGCGAGACCCTTCTGGGAGGTTGCATCTGGCAGGGGTCAGTGCAGTGGGTGGGGCCTCCCTCAGCACCTGCTGTGTCTGGCCCTCCACAGGGACCTCCATCGTGTTTGACATGAGCCTCACCTACATCTTGGTGGCGCTGGCAGCCGTGCTCCTGAACAACGTCCTGGTGGAGAGACTGACCCTGCACACCAGGATCACCGCAGGTGCGCCGGGCCCCACCACGGGATGCCTACCTGTTGTGGCTCCCATGTGCCTGGCCGGTCATCCACTCGCCCAGTTTCCCTGAGCCTCACTCGCCTCATCTGTAAAATGGGCACACTTCCTAGGGCTGCCCTGGGGTCTGGCCGTGGTGGGGCCTCTGTACCCCACCACATGTCTCTGGGCCCCGCCCAAGCTCTTCCCCATACCCAGTGTGTTCTTCCTTTCCCATTCCTCCGCATGGTGTCATCCAGCTTCAAGGCCTGGCTCAAATGGCGCCTCCTCCAGGAAGCCCTCCGGGTGCCCCTGTTAGACTTGTAAAGCATCCCTGGCCCTCCTTGAAGAAGGGCAGAGAAAACCTCCGACTGACTATGCAGGAGGGGCGAGGAGGAGGGGGACCCCCACCCAGTTGGCTCCACCGCTCCCCTCACTGGCCTCTCCCCCAACAGGCTACCTCTTAGCCTTGGGCCCTCTCCTTTTTATCAGCATCTGCGATGTGTGGCTGCAGCTCTTCTCTCGGGACCAGGCCTACGCCATCAACCTGGCCGCTGTGGGCACCGTGGCCTTCGGCTGCACAGGTAGGAACCGGGGCCCAGGGGTGAGGCCCTGAGTGCCCACTTCTGACCCTGTCCCACCCCAGCCCTGGTCTCCTGCTGGTGGCATGTGACATGATGGGAGCCGGGCTGGCTGGGTGCCAGGTGTGTGTCCACCTGCATGCCAGCGTGCACACCTGCACACCCAGGCACACTGGCTCACACCCACAGGAGCCTGTGTATGCAGTGTATGCACAGCATGTAGTCACAGAGACTCTGAGGCAGCTCCTGGTTTCCCTGGTATAAACAGGGCTTCAAGGACTGTTCTGCCTTTGTCACCATGTCACTGTTTCTCTTGGGCAATGGCTTTCAGTAGGGTCTGACTCTGTCACCCAGGCTGGAGTGCAGTGGCATGATCATAGATCACTACAGCCTCAACCTCCTGGACTCAAGCTGGTGAGCCAGCCTCCCACCTCAGCCTCCTGAGTAGCTAGGACCACAGGCACATGCCACCAAGCCTGGCTGATTTTACAAAATTATTTGTAGAGACAGGGGTCTCTCTATATTGCCCAGGCTAGTCTTGAACTCTTAGCCCCAAGCAGTCCTCCCACCTCGGTCTTCCAAAGTGCTGGTATTACAGGCACGCGCCATCGTGCCTGGCCTTACAAACTTTTGAAAGCTACTTTTTATTTTGCAAAAATTTCAAACCTACAGGAAAGCTTGCAAGAATGATACAGTGAAGTCCTACACGAGCACTCTCTCCCCCTCTCCCTCCACCCCTCTCTCTCTGTACTTAAATTTCTCCCTAAGTATATATAAATATAAAATACGTCTTTCCCCTTGTACCATTTGAGAGTGAGTTGTAGATGTCATCACCTTTCTTGCCTAATTACTAATACTTCAGAGTGTATTTTCTACCAGTCAAGGCATTTCTTTTCTTTTTT